TTCATCTTTTATTTGTTTGCGGTTCTTCATAGATTGTCTCTTTAATAGATGCTATGTACATCGCAGAAGTGTTCTGGTGAGGACCAACAAGGTCATGCTCTGGAAGACTTTTCCCAATATGAAGGAGCTGCTTCAACTACAAACAGCCAAACGCTGTTAATAACTTAGTTATGATAACTCAATCGGATGACCATCAATTCAATTTAAATCAAGATGTAAATTACTTCACAGGAGGTCATAAATCTGATTTGATTGAACAGTGCGATATATATCAGGAATACAGGCAAAACTCAGCAATAAAAAGCACGGATCCAGATCAATTTATTTTAGATGACAATTTTGATTGCAATGTTTTTGTTGGAGTTGATGATATCCAACAGTCTGGAGAGGATATTATGCCTAATATTCTTCCAAATATATGCCCTCCACCTTCTGCTTTTTTAGGCCCGAAATGTGCTTTATGGGATTGCTTTAGGCCTGCTCAAGGGTTAAAATGTTGCCAGGACTACTGCTGTAGTTCGCATGAGCTTTTGGCAAATAATGAGGGTCTTCCTGGCATGACTCCAATTTTGCGTCCTGGGGGCATTGGCGTTAAGGATGGTCCTTTGTTTGCTGCTGTTAATGCGAAGACGCTGGGTAAGGAGGTGGGCATCCCTAATTGTGAAGGTGCTGCTTCAACTAAATCCCCTTGGAATGCTCCTGGTAAGTTTGCATGAACTCTTATTCTTTGTAAGTATCTCACTGTGTAACTTGTTCATGTAATCTTTTATAGACTTCTAGCATCATGTTTGCTTGCATGAAGTGTAGTGCAAATTTTTTGTTTCTCCCTGGGCTGTTCAATGCAGCTAGTCGTCAGTATTGTTCTAGTTTGAATTATTGGCTTCTCCGTGTTGTTGCAGAGTTATTTGATCTTTCTCTTTTTGAGGGTGAAATGGTGCGGGAATGGCTCTTTTTTGACAAGCCTAGAAGGGCTTTTGATAGTGGAAACAGAAAACAAAGATCACTCCCAGATTATAGCGGACGTGGTTGGCATGAATCAAGGAAGCAAGTGATGAAGGAATATGGGGGACAAAAGAGGTCCTATTACATGGATCCTCAGCCTCTAAGTTATCTTGAGTGGCATTTGTATGAATATGCAGTGAATAAGCATGATGGTTACGCATTATATAGACTGGAATAAAGCTTGTGGACAAAAAAAGAAAAGTCCTAAAGGAAAAGTGACCAAGGAATCTCTTGCTGATATACAGAACAAGATGGGAAAGCTAACTGCCGATGTTCCGTAAAAAAATGACCAGATCCTATGTGATGGATAACCAATGGCCTAGTGTGGTACTGGCAAATATTGTGTCTCGTGAAAAAAATTGGGGGAAAAATACACTCCGTAGGTTGGTTTTGCCAAATGTAGATCTTTGGGCATGCATGACAACATTTGGAAACTCTTTGACATTCATTGGAAATGTCATATGAGTATTTTAATGGGTGAACGAGTCCAATTACAAGTTCATCTCATAGTTATTATACTGCTTTTGGATATTGGTGTCATAGAAACTAGTCAATCTTTTCTTGCTAATAAAATGTTTATTCCTTAGGGTAATATAATTTTTAAGGTAAAGGTGTAAATTTGGTCATATACTATTTTTTAAAGAGCATCTGGTAGCTTAATTTATCAAATGATGTAAAATAAATTATGAACTTTCAAAAATGAAACATCTAGTAACTTATCGTTAACTTCAACTGACAGACGTTATGTAGGGTTATAATGACACCCATCAACATGATAAAGGTGTTTTAGTCATGAATTATGTTTCGAGGAGCATTATGTAACCTTTACTATAAAAAAAAGATCATCCAACACTTTTTCCTTAATTTTGACTAAGCATTATTTTTTCATACTTATGAAACTCATAAAGCATCAATCTCTTCGATTTTCTTATCTTTGTTTTCACTCTCAACTCAAGAAGAAGATGCTCAAAAAGTTCTTATTTAAAAACATTTATGAAGACGAACTAACAAAGTAGAAAAAATAATTTGTGATTAAACTAAGCTAGAATGAGGCTTCTTCCATACGTAATAAAACCAAACTTTTATTTCATTGGCATCATTCTTGTAAATGTCTTTAAATAAGAATTCTATGAATCTTTTCTTCTTGACTTAATATTGAGAATGAAGGCAAGAATATTGGAGAGTTTGATACTTTATAGACTTTATAAATATGAAAATAAATGGTGTTTAATCAAAATTAAGAAGAATGCATTGGATGGTCCTTTTTTTATAGTACAGACTACCTAATACCTCAAAAGATAGTTTATGACTAAATTTGCATCTATCATACTAACATATCATGCTCCATCCGTGTCATTATAAGCCCCACATAACATTCGTTAGCTAAAGTTAACGACGGGCTATTAAATGTTCTATTTTTAAAAGTTTATAATTTATTTTGCACTATCTAATAGTTTAAGATATTAGATGCTTCTCGAAAAATAATATATAATTAAATTTGCACCTTTATCCTAATTTTTATGAGGTGGTGATATGGAAAACTGGTCCTCTCAAAAAGTGAAAAAAAGTAAAATACTTTAGAGAACTGAAATTCCTATGCTCACAACATTTTGCATTCTGCCTTCAGAATTTTTCTTCCAATATGCTTTGGCAGGGAAAAAAAAAATAATGTTCTTATTGCTAAAGTCGATTGGCCCACTTGAAAGAGGAGGCGTATGTAAAAAATTGAGTTCTGGTGGAGTTGATTATTAGGTTGTGAATAGTTAGTAGTTTGTTCATTACTTCTCCCCTTGGCTCTTGCTAAAGATATCTCCATTCCACAATAAACAAAATAGAACCCATAATCTCACGGTGTCTCATATTTGAAACATAATTGATAAAATGTATAAATATAATAAATTCTCCATGGAGAAAGATGCTGACACGCTACCAATAAGGTCCTATTCTTGGATTTTTAGGTACCTTGTTTCTTGGTGTCACAAATAGCTAGCGAAACAGGGATACGCTAATGCAACAAATTACTGAGATCGAAAAGCTTCACTGAGAGTGTTAAAGTAATTATGTTTAATCACAGAGAGGCAAAGGCAACTCTTCGACAAATGACATGTACCCGTCCAAAACAAACAACCTTTCTTTTGGAGAGAAGTCTGTGCTGCAAAGCTTTTCATTGATGAGTCCGCAGCTGTCAAGGTCTCAAGGATTTGCTTCAACAGAGAAGGCTTCAACAGAGAAGGCAAACATATCCTAATTTTATGTGGGTTATAAACTGAAACGTTATCCCCTTTGCAACTTCTCTTCAATTCAATAGGAGAGTATTCAAAGAATAAAATTCCAAATGCACAAAATACACTTCACAACAGAATTCTGGGCAAAACAGCCTCTAATAGTAATAACCAAAATGAAAATTTTATTATATATTCCCTCCGTTCAAAAATATAAGGCGTTTTAACCTAATCTCACCTCCCGATGTAGTTACTTATTTTTAAACTAACTCTATCTTTTCATATTTACCCCTATTTAATAGGATGTTTCACCCCAAAAAAAAATATAAGTGATCTATTCAATAGGGCACTTTTGAAAAAAAAAGGTAATGATTACACTTTAAATGACTAAAAATGTCTCATATTTTTTAACATCCAATCTCTTAAAAATACTTTACATTTTTGAACATAAGAGTACTTTCTAAAAAGGTAAAACTTAATAATAATTGTTAGTCGTAAAGAACAACTACACTTCATGCATCTAATCCGGTTCATGCTACATATAGATCATTAAACATAAACATCTCTTGTTTAGGCAGTTTTATTTGTCCAACTGCTGTTACTTACAAGCTAAAATGTTACACTCATCAATATATCGATATATGATAAGATTTGTAACAATCTGCGTTATTCATCAGTCACGAATAATACAACTCATTTTTCAAATATATATTATACGGAGCCATGTTTAGCTGACACAGAAAACAAAACAACCACATTTTGCTAGGTATGCTCACATTTTGCCATCAGCAATCAATGTTCAACAGAAGCCCAGGAATTTGAGTCGATCCAGTCATAAGCAATAGGGCTCAAAAAAGCATCAGGAATACCAAAGGAACTGACCAGGGCGAGTGCATGTGGTCGAAGTTCAGAAGAGAGTTTTGTCACTTCTTTCCTTACTGCAATAGCTTCATCTCTTGAAAAGTATTTATATCGGAGGAAGGAAGCATCTTCATCCAAGCAAATCAAAGCATACATGGATCTCAAAAGCCCTAAGATATTCTGCCGATTAAACATATGCAATTATGAGTAAATGGGCTTGTTTAACCTCTTGAACTCAGTATCCAAAAATCCTAGCTGCATTTTATAGCACGCATTTTAAATGAAGGGGAAACAAAATCGAGTTTTACTTATACCTTCAAGAACCAGCTGGTAAAGCAGATTCAGCATCCATGAAGGTTTGCAGCATTGCTCGTTCTGAGAAAGCTCTACCTAAGTCCTCAGCAAGCTGAAAACTCTGGTACAGAAAAGAGTTTCGAACTGTAAGACAGAGAAGGGATGAAGGGATAATTGACAAAACAGGGAAGAATCTTGTTCTTACTTGAATGAAGGCTGACTCTGCACTTTCTCCCTGAGCCTTATATTCTGATACCTTAGCAGCAAAACGACTCAAAAGATCTCGCTCTCTTAAACGGAACATGTCAATCTGTGTAAATAAGAGGTAAGCAATGTGCCAAAAAATAATAAGAGGCAAGTAGTAAATTTCAACCTGATCATCCAAATTCAGAAGGTCCCATGAAATCACCTGATATTGGTTGCTCCTTATGGTAGAACTAGTTAGCAGTGATGGGATAACAGGCTGAGGTTTGTTCATGTACTCCAATCCCAAACCAGCAAATGGTTTGTTTTTCTTCTGATTTGCTATGTATTCTGCAAGAAGTGCTTTGCTGACCTGTGTTGAAATATAGCACCAATGAATTTTATACATCAAATAGAACAAAGAAAAAAGTTTGAAAGGAAGCTTAAAATTAGCATGAATAAAATCTCATGAAACTCAAGTTCTGGGTATGCAACTGTGTTAAATACTCATTGGAAGAGCTTCACCACCAATGTGATCCTACCCAGCTTAGCCCATGAATAATGTGTAATTGTATTTAAAAAAAAAAAATCCTCATGAAACTCAAGTGGTGCCAACATAGAAGTCCTAAGTGCTTAACAAAGTTTGCAAATCTCAAATCCCAGAAAATAGTATGTTTTAAATATCCCAGGTAAACTAAACAGTATAATTTAATATGTAAAATATATTCATTTCTGTCAATACACCTAAAAAACCTAAAAGTTTAAACTATTAGTCAGACTAAGAATATATTGTCTTTGATGGGTAGTAAAGTAGAATATGAAGCCTTCACAGCCAGATTCATTTATTACTTTTCCAGCAAACACAACAAAACTTCGAGGCTAGGGGGAAAAAAAAGTGCTTAAATATGGTACATCATAATCAACAGTTTACTACAGCGTACCTGCTGCATCAGAACATGGTTGTCCCCCTCAAAAGTTGACTGCACATCATATTCACCCATCAAATGACCAACACGATTTTCAGTTTTTATAACCTTGTCCACCACAGGCTTCACGACATTCCTGGTTTGTGCATAAATAGAACTTTTGTGAGTTTAATAACAAATAATTTATCAAACCTAACTATAATTTCTCTATACTTACCTGAAGAATTCGCATATTATTCCATGTAAATGTAGCCTTGTATGAACTAGAAACAACATGAATGGTTTTGTTTGACTGAGGTGACCTTTTCACATACATCATTTTTAAGTCATTTGCAGCAAAACTCATTGCATATCTGCAACACAGAGGACGGAAATGAACATCAACAGGTCAGGCCACTATGCATCTGTCAATGGTCAAACCAGCATAGTGACCTTTTACTGTGTTCAGAGTCTAGAAAAATTGGTCACATAGAGGAGTGGGGGGGAGCAAAATGCATGTGTTTTCCAAGAAGGCAAAGTCCACCGTCAATACACTTCAGTTGCCTAATACATTCAATGGCTACATTTCACTTGATATGGTGGTTGGTTATTGAGTTCAAGAAACATGCCCCTATCCATTCATAATTTCATAAAATGTTTTCTGCAAACGTTTAAACAATATCAGTGATATGGTTAATTATTTCCTACATGAG